ACACACACACACACACACACACACACACACACACACACACACACACACACAGTGTCATGCTCTCTGAGCAGCCTCCAGGACTGGACCAGGTCCATCTGAGTGCAGGAGCCAGCGTGCCCTGGGCCGGAGGCTACATCAGAAAATCAAAGAAACAGCAATGTTCCCAAATCCTCCTCCTCGCCCCTCAGACACACACACCTTATGCCCACTTAGAAGAATCCAATGAACGATGAAATAATTTATCTTGGTTTCTTTAATTTTCCCCTAAACATACAATAATTCATTCCCCATGGTAGCAATACATTACAGGTAAAGGACTATCTTTATTTCACCCCAAAGAGAGAAAACAAAGGACTCTCAGTGGCTTATAAACAATCAATGTGATTATCTTCTGTCTCCCTCAAGTCACCTTTCTCCCAAGGTCTTAAATCACTTCCCTCTAGACTTAAAGCACCCTTCCCCCACCCTTCCCCCACTGATTTGTATTCCTCTCAGAAGGGAAACAGATTTAGTGTTAATGAGGAGATTCCTACTCCCTGGTATTCTGGTTACTATTACTTTCACTCCTGAGCCCGAGGGTGTTTCTCCAAGGTCCTGGATGCTTCCTACAGACTGAAAATGAACTTGGAGCTGCCAGAGGATCAGCCCCTTCCTTTCGTACCTCCTCTCTCCAAATAAATCATGGTAAGGTCAGAATTGGAAAAAGCCCAGGGCTTCGGTTCCTGCAGGTTGTGGCTGGCGCCCCGCTGCTCCTTCAGCTTCATGACCAGGGGTCTCAGTATCCTCGTCTCTCTGAGTCTGGTCCTGTCAGGAGCTCCCTCTCCTAGCTCTAGAAGCCTGGGTGCTCCCCCCTGGACTCTGGAGTTGCTAGAGGCACACTTGAGGCTTATTTTACAGCCCAGGCTCTCACTAGATCAGCCCCTTCTCTCACTAGAAGGTTGGGGAGCAGAAAGTCACTCCCCCTCTCCTGGCTGTATGTGGTGGAGCCTGAGGACAATCCCAAAGTGCTTCCTCCAGGCCTGGGTCCGGGTCCTCAGAATGTAGGCACTCTGGCTTCTCCACCCTTCTCCTGATCAGAGCTGCCTTTCCTGGAGCTAGGTAGGGTGTGACCGCTTGGTACCTGGGCTGTGTTGATGCCCAAATGTCCCATAGGGGCCAGAGCCCAGGCTCAGATCTGTGGTCTCCAGCTCGTGCTCAGCTCTGTCCAGATTTCTCTGACCAGGACAAAGCACGGCAGCTGCCACTGACCTCTTTTTTTCTGGGCCCAGCACGAAGGAGCAGCTCTGGCTTATGCCAGTCTGAGACAACCAATTCATCCCAATCCATTTACAACAGTCCACACTGGTCAGTCCATCCCCAATCCTTCCCTAAGTCTCAGTCAAAGGCTTCCAAGCTGGTAAGCTCATGAGGCTTCCCCCATCAGCTCCTGGAGAGTCAGGAGCTCTGGAGAGAGGCTGTCCCTCGTCCATTGTCTAGCCGGCTCCTGTGATGGCTTCTCCCCATGACCTCCTTGTCTCTCAATCACCTGGTAGTCTAGGCTCTTTGTCATGGGTTCATTACAGGAGATGACTCCATTACTGAACCCTGTGTTCCACAGCCAATATCCTTTCCAGGCAGAACAGTGTGTTCTGTAGCAAACTGACCCAATGGATTGTCCGGTATCAAAGGAGTGAGCTGGCGGCTGCCATGCTGGGCATGCTGCTGCCGTCACCAGGGCCAGCCACCACCACGGGGCTGATTTCACATGGCCTTATTGACAGGAAAATAGAGAGGACTTAATGGATTGGGAGTGCAGGGATGGCCAGTGGTGAAATTGGGAAAGCTGATGCTGCCAGCAGAGTGAATAGATGTCATTGCAAACACCGTTGTCTGGGGCCAGGCATGAGTCAGTGTGACTCTGGCTGTGCCCTGGATGACTGAGGAGAGCTCAGTGTCGCAAATGAAGACGGCAGCATCTTGACTGACTGGAACGCAGCTACCCAGAATGCTCAGTGAACTGGGACGTTCAAAGCTTTCGACTAAAGTAGCAAATTAGTTTTGATCACATTTATACAGCATTTTAGCTTTTACAAAGCACAACACCACTGTGAAGGGGGCAAGGTGAATATTATCATTCCAAGTTTACCCATGAGGAAACCGAGCTTCAAAGAGTTTAGGTGGCTTGTAATAATAGTGATAACACAGCTCTCGAGGGTTTGTGAGGCGCTCTACAAATACCATCTCATTGGATCCTCACAATAATCCTGGAGGAAAGGGTTTCTATTATCCTTATTTTACAGTGGAAGAAGCTGAGGCACATGGAGGTGGCTACCTGCTCCCAGGCATCCAGCTAGTAAATTTCTGAAGCTGGATTAGAACTCGGGTCTTCCTGGCTTCAGGCTCAGTGCTCTAACCACTGCACCACCTAGCTGCCTTCTCTTGCTGCTGAGTAATGGCAGGAGCTCTTTAATACTTTGAGAGTCTTTATGATTTCTTTTGTTATTTTGGGAAAGTAAATGTGGGGTTTTCTCCCAGAAGCTCCTCTCAGCTCATAGGAACCTTGGCAGGCTCCTCAGCACTCCTGGATAAAAGTGAAGAATCATTAGACAGATAAAAGAAAACAAGGAGGAGGAGGAGGAGGTTTGAAGGCCTGAGAGAACCAGCTCTTTAATCCCTTCTTTGCCTCATGTCACAGGAATGACTATCAAAGGGGCTGGAACCTTCTCAGACCCTGGGCTCAGAGAAGAGCCAGTGAGTGAGGGGCGAGTCTCCCTCATCCTATAGGAAGCTTGTTTGACTCCAGGCCACATGAAGGGGCACCTGGGTGTGTCTGCCAAGAAATGAGGAGGAAGAGGAGGAAGAGGAGGGAGAGAAACCACAGCTCTGCCTCTGGGGGCAGAGGAGGCTCAGAGGGACAGGATGAAGCACTTTTGATCTAGGAGAGCTGCAGAACCAGGGGGAGGTCTGCCTGGCATGTGTGCCCAAAGAAACTCTCTGCACACACATTGGAGTTGTTCTTGCAAGGGCTATCAGATGTGGGAAGAGATGAGGGGGAGCTTCATGTGATTATAAATGAAGAACCATCAGAGATGATGAGAATAATCCAAATGGAGCCTTCTACATCCTTGCAAAAGAGTGCTTAGCTTTACAAGATCAAAAGGTGGGCATTCAAGGCCAGGCAGCTGGGGCTAAGACTGCACAGAGAGTCCTATCAATTACCAACACTCCCTTTGGTGTAAGACCTCTGAATGCTTGAGGCAGGTAGATGGTGCTAGATAGAGCACTGGGCCTGGAGTCAGGAAGACCTGAGTTCAAATCCAGCCTCAGACAATTATCAGCTGTGTGACCCCAGACAAGTCACTTCATCTCTTCTTGCCTCAGTTTCCTTAATTGCAAAATGGGAATAATTATAGCACCTACCTCTCACATTTGTTGTGAGGATCAAATGGGATAATATTTGTAAAGTATTTAGCACAGTGCCTGACATGTAATAAATGCTTGGAGTGAAGAGGGATTGGTAAAGGCTTCCCTTTAAAAGTCCCTTTAAAGGTAGGACCTTAGTTAGGACTTGAAGGAAGTCCCAGTATCTCTGGGCTGAATAGTGTCATGCCTCTGCCATTTCAGGGGGAGTCATAGAAGGTGGGATTTTACAGAAACATAGTGACCCATGAAGCTAGATTCAAGGGCTGTCCTTGACTCTTTCTGATGGTGATCCTAGGCTGGGGCACTCTGAGGACCACCTCACATGCCATTCTCTGCCCTGGCTACCCTTCTGCCCTGGGGCCACCTGGTCATCAGCCCACATGGATGTCCACGGAAGGGAGATCCCTTCCTCCAAGAGCCTGGATCACCACCATGATGCTGCTCCAATAGGTTCCCTAGTTTGGTCTCTAACTCCCCATTGCTCTGTCATTCAGTGTCTTCTGTGGCTTAAAAGCCACCAGCAAATAACAGCATTACCCATTCATGTAAGTTCCCTGTCTGCAAGCCATCCATCCGTCATCATTCCATCCAGAGGGATGGAAGTACCAACATTCCCCCATTATAAATGACACCGTCTTCTGTTCACACTGACTCCTTTGTGCTGTTGTACTGAAAGTTGGATTTTGTAGGCTGACCTGAGACTTTTTAAGATTGTTTTTATGTAAAAATGTGTTTCAAGTTCCAAACAACTTCAATACATCAATGAATCGGAGATCTCTTCAATCCAGACGTTCCTTCCAATGATGCAATCACATCCCATCCACACCTGCCCATTCTGTGCAGCTCTTGACTTTGTCCTCCTAGAAATCCATGTGGGTCTACCTGGTGTGTTTAAGTCTCTCTTGTATTCTGAACCTTGTGTGGATACCAGTGAAGCACATGTAAACTCCTTGTGAGTGGGGATTCTCATTCTTGTACTATATTCCCAGTACCTCGGACAGTGCCTGGAAAGTAGTAGGTACTTAATAAATGCTTATAACTTAATTGACTGATTGATGGTCTTTCTGATGGTTATTCCTTGCTCTTGTTTGCTAATGACTAACTCATCTTCCCACCCCCACCGTCACTACCCCCTGCCCCCCAGCCTATGTTTTCTTTTTTTTTATTAATTTATTTTGATTTCTCAACAATCACTTCCATATGCTTTTGAGTTTAAAATTTTTCTCCCCCTTCCTCCCCCCCACCCTTCCCAAGATTGTGCACAATCTGATATAGGCTATACATACACATTCCTATTAAGCATATTTTCACATTATTGATATTGTAA